CCCCTTCCCGACTACCCCGGCCTCCACCTTGTCAATAAATAATACATTAAACTGTATGGCCTCAGTATGGATTGGCTGGGGGATCCTACGCTGCTCCCAAAAGCCCAGCCCCTTCCCCATGGACAGCAGGGTGCAAAGTCCACTTCTCCACAGGATCTGGGGGAACCTCCTCCATGGGTGACGTAGTGGGAATACAGCTTTCAGGGCCAACTGCAAAACCCTTCCAGCAGCTACACGAAAAACCAAACAGATCTCCTCTGCCTGAAGTTTAATGGTTCTGACAGTTTTACCAGGGGGAGCAGAGAAACAAAGAGATGGAGCAGAAGGACATTGTTCCAAGCAAGGTCAGGTAAAATGCTTTCCTCCTATATAGATGCTCCTAAAATTGCAGGCTTCTGTCCCAGCTCTACCTTGTGTGGCTCTGCTCAAGCCATCGGCCTCTTGGGTTGCTTCCAAAGGAGCGCAGAGACACCACACTTGCTCCACCAAGGGACCATCTTTCATTGCAAGCCATATAGCTCAATTTTCCAGGTTATCTGGACAAAGGACTGACAGCTTCCCAAAGCACTTGTGTGGTTGGGTATCTCTGAAGGACATTTCAGGCTCACCTATGCTTAAGAACACCTGCTGGGTGGGATGAAGAGAGCTGAGAGAAACAGGCCAGGCAGGAGGTGGTGGTAACGTTCACCTTTATTAGGTAACAGATGCTCACAAGCCCTGGAACAGGGTTTTCAGACAGCAGGTATGTTCCCTGGGGAACCCCCCCACCACCAGTTGCACCTCGTTTCACAAAGCATCCCTACTCCAAACTCCATGTGGATAAATAGACTTTCTTCACATAATCCATAAAACAATTTCCTCCCACCCGCAAACAAAAAAAAAGAGTTACAGTATATACACACACATATTAAAAAAGTTGTAGGGACAGATAGGCAGCGAATTTATGAACAGTGTAGAAAAAAATAGGGCAAAGATCCCTTACCCTGGAGGGGCGAGGAGTACCAGCAGCGCTAGGACCTTCCGTGGATCATGCCATTAGCCAGCAGGGTTTCAGCCCAGTAGCCTCCCACCCCCAGCCCAGCCGGTCCTCCCTGCAGCCCAGCACCCAGGACTCAGTCCACCATTAGTGACAAAGTGAAGCCTCAGCATCTTTGTTTTCCAAAAGTCTCACTTCCTCTTTTACTAAAGCACAAAACTTCCCTCGTGTTGGATGCTGATCTGGGGAAACGCGAAATAACTGAGAGGTTGCCACAGATAAGGAGTTTCTGTATTTTTGGAAAAACTCACAACCAGGGAAGTCAGTGCAAGAACCACTTAAGAGGAGAAAAAGTAGAAGGATGTGATCTACTCCATGAAATAAGATCACTGATAAGCTAGGAAACTTGGGATGGGCAATCAAAACCCACCCAAACTGAAGAGCTGTTCTGCACACTTAGGATACCTGCTCATAGCAGACATGCGAGAGCAACCTCTGCCCCTCAAAGGATTAGCTCTCCTCATATTACACAGACTGCTGGCCACTGAGCCTGGGGGTCCACCAGCTAATCTCCAAATAAAGCGGGGGAGGGAGGGAAGTGTCTTCTGGCCCCCACACTTTTGTTCACAGCTATGGCAAAGGGTTGCTGTGCATGGGATTTCCTGGGGCACAGCTTTCTCCTGGTCCCAGTTTCCAACTTGTTGAAGCCAGGCAACTCTAGGACTAGCATTACTTGTGTTCAGTTCCTGTAGCACATGAAATCCCCAAAAGACCCTGTGCAGAGTGAGACAAGAAGCCCCCATCCTTTTCCCCTCAGTCTGGAAGGAGCTCAAGCTCTCACACACCCCTCTGCAAAAGCTGGACACACATAGAAGCTTCTTGCAAAACAGCCCAAGTTCCAATTTTGCAGGAGTCGTCAGGCTGTACGGGCCTGACTGGGACAGGATAGGATTGGGCTGACGCCTGTATCTAAGTGCTTCTAGCTACCGACACAGAGCACACGCCAGCTACAGGCAGGGAGAAACAGCGATGCCTGCCCACCAAAGACTCGTTTCCACATTTGCACCTGTGAGAGGGCAACCGCTTTGCACTTCTTTGGAGAGATGCAACAGGAAAGGCAGAGAGAAAGAGGGCAAACCGTTCCCTCCCTGTCCCTGATCCACCTCCCCCTCTTGGAAAGTCACAGGCAATTCAACACCTGCAAATCAAACTGCTCTCAATAGCCATGGTAACAGCTGGGAGACTCACACCCTGAGCCAGTGCCTCGCAGTCCCTGCAGGAGCTCAGGAGCTGTTGAGCAGTTGGAGAAGGGAAGGAGAAACACCTAAGACAATTTCTGGGACTGGGACTTGAGTAAAATAAAAAACTGTTTCTAAAAATTGTTTCTGCATCAACAAAAAGGCACCAGAGAAGCAGCCACCCATCACGCAGGTTGCTGCAAGTCCACCTCTGCTGCCACCCGGCACCAGATGACCAGGGACTCCCCAGCCTTCTACGAGGCTCAGCTTGTTGTAGGCTGCCTCAAACCCACCCCCCTGCCAAAAAAAAATAGAGGCAGCCCTGATCACAGGAAGGAAATGCACGAAGTGGAGAAGAAGGGAAATCTGCTGCATCGTTCCCTATGTATTTGTAAAGCCACAAACACTCCTATAAAAAACCTGTATAAAAACTGTAGAGAAATTTACTGGGCAGTACTGGCCCCAAGCGATACTCCCAGAGCACCTCTGTAAGTTGGGTCTAGGGGGCTCCAGTTTCCTGACACACAGCTCAAGGAAAGCTGGTGCCTTCCCCATCTCTGCCAGGAATGGCCCCAGACCCCAGCAGCCCCATGCGGCAAGGATTGAGCAGATCCTCTGCCCTCCCCAGAGGTTTCTTTCTGCAGATATGTTTGGGAAGGGAACAAGATGCCCCTGAGGACAGACACGGGATGTGCCGCTTCTCTATGCCTTGGGCTTGCGGGCTTCTCCCCCCAGCAGGGATGGGGGCTCCGGATCGGGGCAGCGCTTCCCAACAGCCCCAGGCACAGTCGCAAAAACCACTAGACAGATTTCTGCTGCAGCACCCAAGAACAAGTGAGGGGGCTAATAAAGCTAAAGTTAAAAAAAAAAAAACAAACACAAAAACAAAACCCTCAAAACCCTCCCTCCCTCTCCCACCCCATCACAATCCCACTGGCACAGCCCTAACCTAGCATGTTTTTTTGTTTTAAGCTCAAGAAGGGAAGTCCAGGCTGACTGTCGACCAGGCTGTCTTTGCACAAGGCGGCCCCACGTCGGCATTAAGAGGCGGCGATGGCCGTGCCCCCGCTCAGCTTGACGATCATCTGCTGGCAGTCATTGCAGGACCGCTTGTCCCCCACCTTCTCCAGTGTGCGGGCAGCCTCAGCCAGCAGGACCGCTCGCTGCCCCGGGGAGGAGAGGAAGGAGAGGGGGAGATGGCGACAGGCTAACAGGATGGCCGTGGCTCGCTCCCTCTGGCCCGGCAGGGTATCCAGTTCACCTATGCACAAAGAGGAGAGAGAAACAGCATCATGC